GGAAAGAGGGGGAAAGCGGGGCTGAAATGGAGGGGTGAGGAGGTGGGGGGAGAAGGAGGGGGGATAGAGGGGTGAGAAACAGGGGCAGGGTGATGTGAGCAACATGCTCCATGGATTTTGTGCGTTGATGTTTGTGTGGTTGGTTTCTCTTAGCAGAAAAAAAAACTTTCGAGGAGTGAAGAATGCGCAATGGATTGTGCATTTTTGTTTTGTGCTTTTTTTCCCCCCTTCTTTTCTCTTTTCTTTTCTTTTGCAGGCCTGCGGGTGAAGTGGCTATATCAGGCTTAGGATGGTTCTCGATCAGCGGCGTCGAGGAGGAGAGCCATGTGGGCTCCCCCAATGAAGGTGTGAGTTCGGAATCACAGCGAGCCAGAGCAGGCGATAGTACGACGACGAAGTCGGGGACGAACCTGACGATGAAAACGGAAGGAAACTTGAGAAAGGGTCGGGAGAGGAACGACAATGGGGTGGATTTTTCGCTCGAAGTCCATGTTCCAAAAGGGGTGGAAGTCTTTCCACGGTCTGCTCTCCCAGTCGGCGAGTCGGCCAAAGACTGGTACGAATGGCTCGATCTGACAAGCTATGAAGCAAGCGAAGATCAGGCAAAGCAGCTTCCACAATTGTTCTATACAGATCAACAAAGGATATAATATTATAATAATTGGATTTTTTTTATTTTTCTTGAATTGGAATGTTGGAAAATGCATTTTAAATTTTCAAGTTTCAACCATCCGAATTTATGAGATGGTGTGCAGTGTGGCAGAGTTTTTTGTTGTCTAATTTGTGAGCGCCATGGTAGAAAAATCAAACCCGCCAATGGAACGGAGCCATCTATAAGCGGGGACTGTAGAAGGGGTGTCTGATCTTATCAGCACCCTCGCTACACCTGTCGTCGATGTCAAAAATCTTAAAAATGCATGGGTCCTGGAGACCATCTCACGCAAGTGTGTACATGCCATGCATCGTTCTCCCACACACAACGAACAGTAGTCTGATAATAGACAAAGG